ACCACAGTTAGTGAAACAATCTGCGATAAAAGTTGGCAAGCTATTCATAGTAGGGAACAGCGGCTTGACCAATGGGCAGAGTACTTCAACGGACAGTTCAGCTGGCCAGGTGCTCTACGATGTAGCTGAGGTTTCATAAGCAGTGTCATCTGAACCTCCTACTGCAGGAGAAGTTCGTTCTTGCATCCAAGCCCTGAATAAAGGAAAACCAACAGGGCCAGACGAGCTTCCTTCCACTCTTTTCAAGATGGAGGGGGGGGGCGATGGCCTAGTGGACTCCATTACTAATTTAATGCGTAAAATATGGTCACACGAGCGCATTCCATCATCCTGGAGCGAACCACTGATCGTTCCAGTTTTTAAGAAGGGATCTCGCAATGACTGCGCAAACCACCCTGGAATAAGTTTGATCCCAATCGTCACCAAGTTACTAGCCTCCATTATACTTCGACGTTTGACACCGTTTAGGGAGACAAACATCCGCGAGCAACAAGCAGGATTTCGACTAGGTCGCGGTTGTATCGATCAAATCTTCACCCTGTGTCAAGTCCTCGAGCTACGCCATACGCACCGTCGACTAACGGTTGTCGCGTTCCTTGACCTAAAAGGAGCCTTCGACTCAGTTGATCGTGAATCCCTTATGTGTTCACTCCGCAAAGGAATGCCGCGGAAGTGTGTGAATATACTGAGTTCACTCTACTCACATACTTCTGGTAGCTTAAGGGTCTACGGCGAATTGAGTAGGTCATTCTAAATAGCAGTGGTGTTCGTCAGGAGTGCCTTATTTCACTTCTGTTCAATTTCGTCATAGACGAAATACTGGAGAACGCACCCAGTGGTCTCCAAAATGCAGGTGTTGAATGGGCAGCTGGAGAAAAGCTGTGATTTGGAGTACACTGACATCGTTTGCTTGTTCGAATGTATGAAAAATGCACAAAGAGCACTTGACAGATTGTCAAGTTCTGTCGCTGCGTTCGGCATGTGCTTTGCACCTTCAAAGTGACGCGACAAGACTGGGTATCACCGACTTCTGTTTTGAAACTAGACGGTCAGGAATTAGATGAAGTTGACTGCTTCGCGTACTTAGGTAGCTGCGTGACCAACGACGGTAGCGCACCGAAGGGGATAACCGCCCGCATTTCCCAGACTCGAGCATCGTACGCAGGACTAAAACACCTATGGCGATAATTTAACGTTTCTCTGAAGTTGGAAAACCGCGTATACTGTGCCACTGTACGATCCGTTCTGTGTCATGGTTGTGAGACCTTGAGTTAACGAGCAGAAGACATCCGTCACCTATTGTTTTTTGACAATCCATGCTTACGTAGTATGACCCAGGTGGGATGGAGTAAGAGGCTTAGTACCCTAGAAGTAAGTCGTTGGGTGTTTGGGAATGCGTCAAGCACAAGTTCGGCATCGCATCGAACTGAGCTTAATAGTCTCCATTGGTTAGAACGCGTTTTGCGTCACCTACCGTACCTTATTTGTAGTGTCTGCTGCAGATTGGAGAAAGCCACATGGAGGCCGGCGGAGGACGTGAAGAGGAGGCATGAGGAAATGTACGGAGCGATTAGGTAGAATGAGGGATTTCTTGTTTTCCGGGTTGGGATCCAAAATACTTCGTAACTGAATGGTTGGAGACACTGAAGGTCATGGCAGAAAACCGACAGCAGTGGCAACCTTGCTGTCATTTCTTGTCAGTCCAGAATGCTGGAACTAGTATGTATGCAGTTGGATTGTGTACTCTGTGTGTTGACCATAGAGGTTCGCTTTCTTTTTCCGTCCGTAAAAGTAGGGCTGATCCCTATCCTCCTCACACATTCTCACTTCTCTTGTATGCATTATGAGTTTGGCAAAGATCAGGGAAGTTCGCTTCTTTGTATTACGCTGTACAATAATAATGATGATGATGCTCAGCTTGTCCGAACCTGCGCCCTCTGGATTGGGTCCAATACACCTTGACACCCAATCGAGCCAGTTACCACTCCGGCAACCAGGAAGGTGTGGCTATACGTGGTTCGTACGCCTGCTCTTAGTAGGTTTGGAATCAAAGTTTTTAGCCAACTACCCTAGGTGAACCGCCAGTTATTCACCGATCCGGTTATATCCCCGGATTTTGGCTTTTCGTCCTCTCACTTTGTTAGGAAAACCGCCACGGAAAGCGGTGAGTAGGGCTTCCTCAACAGAGGCTGTTAGAGACGCCCATCCCCGACCCTACTGAAGCCTTCGGTGACATCATATTCTGCTTTTTTTTCTTCTGTGGTGCAGGCCCACTTCCTATTCACCTCATGCATCGGTACAGATGTATTTTTTGAACGGTGTGAGTCTAACAGCGCTCGTCAAAGTTCGGCTCACTGGACTTCGATATTGATAACGATGATCAACATAGTTAACCATCAAACAATCTGAATAGCATTCCCTGTCTTTAGGATCNTTTAGGATCACCCTTGTCGTAGATATATAGATATTTTCCTTCAGCTGTACCGTGAACCAAATTTTGAAGTAAGTAATTCGATATCTTAGTAACATACTGTATGTACGACAGATTGTTCGTCATGGTGAGTACATCTTACATACCTCGTCAAGTAAACTTGAAGTGTAGAGTCAGAGGCGAGTCATGACCGAACCTGCTAACAGGCTGCAGTGTACCCCTTGTCAAAGTGCATCGATTTGTCCGTTTTTCTGTCCATCTTTTAGGAAATCTGTGTAGCACAATGCAGTCGAAAGTTGTGAATACTAACTCGTCCTTGGTTTAAATTTCTTATAGATAGAATTCATTCGAGCGGCATGCTGGAAATGTATTTCAAGTAAATTGATCATGCATATGTTACCCTAAAGTCCTGTTTTTCTGTTTCAAAGCTGTCTTTTTCGAACTGGTAGACAGCTTCACCGTCGCCCAGTTTAGTAATATGTGTGCAGATAGTCGTTGGTTCAATCATAAAATCAAAGTGACTGTAGTGTAGACTGAAAAGTCTAGAGATTAGTAGTGTAATGTACAACAAATGATAATAATACGCATATCTATCTTATTAGAGGTCTTATGCGGTTCGCCACTCCCGGGGCTTGGACTACCGATTTCCATGACCGAACAGCAGGTCCTCGTGACTATGGGGTTTACCCCTTCTGCTGTTCTTCACACTAAAGCTTGTAATTATAAAAAAATTGCAGTTGCCTGCAATATAAATGAAACAGAGTTCAGGAAGAATTAGGACTTTGAATGCAACCTTACTGGTTAATAGTTAGGTGGCATCTACAACATCAGCTTACGAACAGCTTAAAGAAGGACGGCGAGAACTGGTGGGAAACAATAGCTAGTGAAAGGGAAGTAGCAGCAGCATCAGAGAAAAGTCAAAGACTGTTCTGACGGATACGCAATACGAGAGGTCGACGAACTCCAGTTAGTGAAACGGTAAAAGAGGAAAAGCTATGCACAATAGGGATGAGCGACTTGATCGCTGGGCAAAATATTTCAGCGAACAGTTCAGCTGACCTGCCGCTAACCAGGTTGCCTCATCAGCAACTGAAGCTCCTTGGGCAGTCATGCTACCGTCCAACGGAAGCAGTTCATTCTTGCATTCAAGCTCTGAAGTGAGGAAAGGCATCAGAACCAGATGAGCTCCCTCCCACTCTTTTCAAGATAGACGATGATAACCTCAAGCTGTATTACTGCTTTACTGCGCAACATTTGGACACAAGAGCGCATTCCTTCATCTTGGGGCGAGTCACGGATCGTTCCCGTTTTCAAGAAGGGATCTCGCAACGATTGCGCAAACCACCACGGGATAATTTTGATTCCGATCGTCACCGAAGTGCCTCGGTTATACTTAGACGTCTGACTGCTTTCAGAGAGATCAACATCCGTGAACAGCAAACCGGATTCCTGCCTGACCGTGGATGTATTGATCAAATTTTTACGTTGCGGTAGCTACTTGAGCTGCTTCACCCACCGCCAACTAACAATCACAGTGTTCCTTGACCTGAAAGGAGCCCTCGACTCAGTTGATCGCGAAGTTCTGATGGGTTTCCTTATTCGAAAAGGAATGCCCCAGAAGTATATTAACCTACTGAGGTCACTGTACTCACATACCTCCGGTCGTGTAAGGGTCTGCAACGAACTAAGTAGGCCGTTCATCGCCAGCAGCGGCGTTCGTCAAGGGTGCCCACTTTCGCCAGTCCTGTTCAATTTCGTCGTAGACGAAATACTGGAGAACGCACTGAGGGGACTCCAAAACGTAGGTATTAAATGGACAAATGAAGAAAAGCTGTGTGATTTAGAGTACGCCGATGATATCGTCTGTCTGTTCAAATGTATGGAGGACGCGCAAAGCACACTTGATAGAATAACAAGTGCAATTGCCACATTCGGTATGTGCTTTGCACCTTCAATGTGCCAAGTGATGCTGCAGGACTGGGTTTCGCCTACTCGCACTCTAAAACTAAACTTCAAGGAATTAGTTACGGTGGATTGCTTTTCCTACTTAGGTAGCTGCGTGACCAATGACAATAGTGCAACAAAGGAAATAACCGCCCACATTTCCAAGGCTCGAGCAGCATGTGCAGGACTGAAACACCTTTGGTGTAGACGGGTCCGAAAGACCTTACAACTGGTTGATTGGAGACATTGAAAGATATGACAGCGAATCGGTAGCAGTGGCGTTCTTGTTGTCGTTTCTTATCAGGTCAGAATGCTTGAAACGGTACGTATGCAGGGTTCGATTGCGTACTCTGTGTGTTGACCATAGTGGTTCACCTTCTTCTCCTTCCCTCAAAGTAGGTCCACTCCCTGTCCACCTTAAATTGTACCACTAACTTTGTATGCATTGCGAGTTCGGCAGCGATCAGTGGAATTCGCTTCACTGTAGTTTGCTGTACGATGATGTTGATGATGATGCAACCTTGTTTAGGTTCTCTGCACAACCTTTCTGACAAACTTACCGCACCATTAATGACATACCTATCATGAGATAGTATGGGTAAGTCGTCATTATTTTGAATTATGGCTGTCTTGAAGCGGTTTGATGCTAGAATTTGAGTCAAATATACAATCTGGAGGCGAGTATTCAGTGTTCGCACCCTCAATACACACTTTCTGCATGTCACCCTGAGTTCATTCCGATTTCAGGTGGTGACACAAGTCTTTTAGTTATTTATCTTTCTTAGCTGCATGCATATTACTAGAGGTCAAGCAGTTTCTCTGTACGAACACCACCTATCCATGGATTGCTTTAATACTCTCTTGGTTTTAAGGTGGGGACAAGTGTTCATTTTGGATGCGATTGCGGACTACAACCCGTCGGACGATAGAGAAGCTCAAAGTATTGTCGAACGTGTTACTCCTCGGTTGGCTCATGCGAACGCTGCGGTTGTCTTGTCTACTGTGAAAGTGATCATGAAAATGTTAGAAATCATCGACCCCGAAGCAGAGATTGTATCGATTGTCACAAAAAAACTGGCACCCCCGTTGGTCACATTGCTGTCTGCAGAACCGGAAATTCAGTATGTCGCATTACGTAACATCAATTTGATCGTCCAAAAGCGGAAGGATATACTGAAACAAGAAATGAAGGTAATGAATTGTCAAGAATATGTTTATCTTATGGAGCTGGTCGCATAACTTGTTTTTTGTATACCAATGTCCTTGGAAATGCTTTTTATATCATTTTCCCGCCCATAATCTTCATAGAAGATATGTTGAAAGTAAAGACAGTTATCGGTTCTGTAGTCTGGTTTGCTACGATGTCCTTTCTATTTATACCTTATGCGGTGAATCGCTTCAAGTACGAGGGGCACGAAGGTGCGAGATCAACGGTTTCGTTAACTGAAATGAAACCGAATGAGGCAATTTTTCCCTAACTCAATGGTTTCTCGTGATCTGTCTGCTGTGTAACGTGTAATGCTGTACGCTGATGGAGATCATAAATACCTGTTCTCAATCCACCATATTTCAATTAGCAAAAACTCGTCACTCTTGCTTTTGAGAACCACTTTAACCATTCCTCCAGTCATATGGTTTTATGTGACCTCACTTGTGATGTAATTCCATCAATGACAAGGTTGTCCTCCAAACCAGACAAATTTGCCATTTTTAAATACGATGTTCATAAAGGATTGATGTTTCTTATTTCAAGGACCGACTGCTTTGTCTCCTATCCAACCTCCGAAAGCTAAACTTGCAGACTGTGTGTAGCATAACTGTTGAAGGTGTTACGGCGCTGGACAACAACAATACTGTCTCATAAGTGTGCGAATTTGTTACTTATCATGTCCTGGAATAATCAAGCAGATAATTAGGTTATGCCGAGTTCGATGGCCCAAGAGACTACTTGGTCATTACCGTTCGATGAAGGCTAGTTGTGTTTTTTGTCAGTCAGAAAAATAACTGCCCCTGTTGAGAAGTCGCTCATCAGTGTTTATCGTTGTCCTTCAAGGTTCGCTACGGGTGAGCTTTATACCATTTGTAGTTGATGTGTACCAAGTTGTTGAAGGCGGACCCGGATATCGAATTAACACTCCGTCGTGCTCGGGTACAAATCCCACAAGATTCAGTGAATATGCATTACCTGTGATCCGTAACAAACTACTATTTACTGGAGTTTTCAATGTCAAGCGATGCCTTAACTGTACATAATTAATAAGCACTTGAATAAAACAAGTAACACAATATGAGCAGAATTGATATTGGCCATCAATTTCGCGTGCTCTCAATCAGCTGTCTACGCACATTAAATAGGTAAAAATTTTATCATAAGAATACCATGTATAGACATTTACAATTACATGGGGTCAAGCAGAAGGCACTGGGTGATTGAGTCATTACCAAAGTCATTTGAGTATGGGCAAAAGAGGAGGAGGGAATGTTAGCATAGAAACAGTTACGTAATGTGAAGCATTGAGTTCCCTTTATCCATTTCATCAAAACAGAAAGAAGACAAGGGTTGCGAGATGTTAACATTTCGTTTAATATTCTCAGTCTTCGTTACGTAATGGAAAACGATTAGCAATGGTGGAAAGAGAGTTAGACATGGTTACGCAATACGAAAAAGATACAACCACAAATGAATTCGAATAGACGCAGAAAGTTAACCGAGTAAAAAAATTGTTCAATTAAGTAGGTCAAAGAGAGTTACGTAATAAGGAAATGAAAAGAGCGAAGTGTCAACGATGATGTAAGAGAACGGTTGAGATGATGGGAAGGAAAGACGAGGGGAATTACCATGGTAATAACAACTGCATAACAAAGGCCTTTTGCACACATAGGTCTGGCTTTAAACGGCTAATGACAACTTCAGCAAACCTGAGCATCATTGGGCTTCGTACTTTGAGCATAACGCGGAAAGCTTTGCGTTTTTCGATGCAGTGTCCGGTATCCAGCAAATGTCGTGCCACCGCGCTTGCTGGAAACTTTCCTCCCCGAAGTGATAAGTTATTCGGAACAATCTCACTCATTCTGGTCGACAGTCGGCGTTCAATCCTTCCGCCGTACCGCGAACCGCAAGTACATTGAAAAAGATAAATGCAATCGGAGGTGACCGGATCATTGGATCTGTCTATGTTTGGCCGCATTAATGAGTTCATTGTTCTGTGAATCATGATCAGTTTCGCGGCAGGATAGGTGGACTCAACTGTAGTACGAAACCGACGACCAACCCGTTCAATTACATTGTCTCCTTTAAATGGCACACCAAATAAAACTGGTTTCTTTTCGATCGTAGTGTATGTTGACCTGAGAATGGCAGGTGTGCAATATTTCTCTATAAAAGGCAGGGGATAACCGTTAGAGGACAAAGCAATCGTCAAATCCCTCTGTTCACTTTTTATCACTTCCGGACTGCACAAGCGACGAGCTCTGTAGAACAAGGTTCTTACCTTCCCAATCTTGTACCGTAGAGCACAAAAACTTTGGAAATGTAAATACTGACCCGTCCACGTACACTTGTGATGAATTGAGGTCAGGAGCGTACCATTCTTCAATCTTGTCAGTTGCCATCACTACGAGACTACACCTTGACGTGGTGTGAACCTCTAACACAACGAGCCACACAGGATGGCTTTATAAAACCAGGAGATCTTATCATGCCTGGTAGGTCATTGGGTAGAGGTCAGACGGAGTTCAGTCTCCTGGTCCTCCAGGTTGGGGGTTCGCCTGGAATCTGGCGTTTCAGTCGATAAAAAGCGGTGGAGGAGTAATTGATCCAAGTGTATGGGCCTCCACTTCGCCTCACCCGCTGCCTTGCGGTTAGGTTCTTGTTAGAACTAAAGGCTTTGGACGAGAACCCTAATCGTTCTCCTGCTTGGTGGCTGGTCACCCTAGCAGTACCCGTCCACCAAACCCCAATGCATACACAAAATAAAAACAATTTCATACTGC